GCATAGCTTGCCTTCTGGTGCATTGAGATGCATGGTTTCAATGGGACCTATAAAAGCGTAGCGCATGCCCAAGCCCTCAGACATCACCAGATCAATGTCCTTCACTGAAATCACTCCGTCCTGGATGAGAAGAAAGAGAAGTTCATTTGGCAACTCGCACTGAATTACACGCTTGGATGAAAGACAATGATTCTAAAAGTGGTTTACTGATGTTCTGATCTTCTAATCCTAAAATTACAGCTTCCTGCTTAGTAGTTTGTCCAGTCAACAAGGTTTGGTCCGCCTGATTGAGAGGAAAATGGAGGTTGCCCCCCTTTTGTCCCATCTGAAGAGCACTAAAGCTGCTCCCACTGTATTGGGTTTCTCTTATCATTTAAATCAGTGTCCTCTGAACAATGGGATGGTATGGCAGGGGGAGGCAAGTGTGGTTGTGCCAGGCTTTGGGCCCACTTTGCACTCATATTACCTGTGGCTACAGATACCTGTTTCCTGACGGTGCTGAAATCAAAGCTTGGATACAGAACGGGCAGTGGGGGATGAGTTTAGGAGGGGGACAGGGTGGTCTTTGTTCATTTCCTGCACGCAACAACGAGGCCGTTATCTCGGTGTTGCCAGGCGGCGGACTGGCTGAGGAAACCGAGAAAAGAGGCCTTTCCTCTACGGTAATCACCAGGGGCAGCCATTAGCTTTCCCAGCTGCTCTACTTTCCAGAGCTGGCTCTCTCTCAAAGAACTCAGAGAGGAAGCATGAGTGGATTTGAGCCCCCCCCCCCCAAACTAACCTCTTTTTCCCTAAATAAAACAATTAATTTAAAAGAACACACACACAAAAAATATAAGGCAAGTCCAGGAAAACATAAGTCTGTAAGTATAAAATCTATAGAACTCGACTTTAAAAATCGTATGAGAAACTTACGGAAAGCCTAAGGCATCTTTACACCAAGGACTTAAGGCTGCTCTGTGCCTGCTCAAAATTCAACATAAAAACATAATGCCATATTAAAGCCAGACTAAATTATGCCTTCGGAGCAACATTAGAGTCATAAAGACTCCTAAATGCCACTTCAGAAGCGCTTCTCTGCCAGCTTTGCAGTGTAAGAAAAGGAATAGTTCATCCAAAAATGAAAATTCTGTCATCATTTACTCATCCT